ATGTGGAAGCCAGGCTGTTGGCCAGGAAGAAAGATGCAATTAATGTTATTGGGGTTACCCCCTTCCTGCACTGCCTTATTGTTAGAAGACAACATGTCCTCCCCCCCACACACTCCCTCCCAAAAAAGCATAGTGCACTGAGTCCTTTCATAGTATATAAATTCAGTGACCAAGAAAAGGCACTTTGATCAAAATATCTTTTCTTGGTCTTTGAATTTTATTTTATGTAAGGAAAGGAATCTGTGTGAAAAGACACTTGAAAATTCTTTGTTCCTGGAATAGTCCTAGTTGGGCTACCTGCATGAGTGAAGGAGTCAAATTCCAGATCTAAGGCTACTCTTTTTCCATGTCCAAAGGGCCCCAAAACATTTAATATTTTCCTAATTTAAGGCAAGAAATCAGGTTTTGATTTTCCCCTCCAGAAAGATGTGATGGACTATCTCTTTTAAGTTTGGTGCAAATAGCTGCTTTCATGCAGGAGGGTCTTTCCCAGGCCATAGTCCACTAGAGCAGCTATTGTGCATCCTGCAGTCAATTGCATTCAATTTAAATGTCTCAAACCTGTTTTATTTATAAATGGGAATGTGTGTCGGTATTTGGCTACATACTTGTATTCAAATAATTTGGGAGAATTCTTCCAGCTCTGTTTTCCTGCTAGCAAATCTTATCCAGAGCCACATGTATAGACATTTGAGTGCCAAGGGCCTGAAGAATGGAGAGCTTGCAGTGCTGACATTGTGCCACCAGCAGGGGGGTCCTGTGCGCCACCAGTGGGGGGGTCCTGTGCACACATCTCGGTATGCTCTGTAGGCTCCCTTAGTCTGCCTAGCAACAGATGGCAGCCCTGATTGGCTAACCCAGACTGCCCATGGTCAGTCAGCCTGTGTTGTCAACATGTACTGACATTCACTCTCCCGGGAACAAAATTCACCTGGAAGTGATTTAACCCTGGTTGTTCCCAGGTTATTTTTCACCTGAAGCAGCCATTTTTACTGTGGGAGAAAAAGCGTGAATATCTGCACAATCATGATTTCTCCTGGGAGAACAGTGACTCTCCCAGGAGAAAGTGAGTATCCACAGAATCATGCCTCAGGATGGTCTTCGATACTGTTTGAACAGAACTCATTTTAACATTACGTCCCCAAAAATGCATCTCTTCCTCAGTGCGAATCTGATTTGGATAATCCAGAGTCTAATAAGGTGTCATGATGTTGCCTCACCTTTGAATTAAAAAGGAGTAAATAAGTGACGGTGCTTTCTTGGGAACATAATTCTTTGCTACCCAGATCTGATCTCTGCATCACTCATTAGAGCTTTCTTGTTTCGTAGGGGTTCACGCAGAAAAATATTCAATTAATTTTGACTGTTGGCTCTCTGCTGAACCAAAAAAGCCCATAGCAGTTGGCTTCCATGAAGGACTGTGGGTTACCTTTTTTTTTTTTTTTTTTAAAGGCCCGTCCAGATCTCAATATGCAAGACAGTTGTTCCCTGTTCAGTGCCCACCTTGAGTAACATGCCGCAGCTGTGGTCTGGGACTCGATACAAAGACTGTGGTTAAATAAATTGAAGAGAGAATTCTTTATTCACTTAGTTTTCTTTTTAATTCACATGTCTTGGAATGGAAAACAGGGCAAGATTTTATTATAAATAGTAACTTGGGCTAGCGCCAAATTCTTGTCCATAACATGTGTGAGCAGATAAACAAAATAAGGCGGCTCTGATTATTCATCTCTAGTGTAACTATTTCTATAATATGCTTGCTTCACTTGTCGAGTGAATTATGCGATTGGCTGTATGACACTAAAGAGATAAAAATGTTAGTGTTCATATGATTCAGATGATATTTCAGAGGAGACATTTTTTCCTCTGGAAAATGAGTTATAAAATGTTCTGCAACTTAGTCACATTTGGCTGGAATGTTTTTTTACTTTTTATAATAAGACGGGTTGATGGGGAGAGTGTTGGCAGACAGTTTATCTTCATTTTGGCCTTGGAAACATAAGATTGTGTTTAAATTGATTTGCTGAAGGAATACGTAGCTACCGTATTATAGCCATGGTTGTGGGATTGGACAGCAAGTGGAGCCTGCTCATAGCAGGAGACGAAGGGGAGCTAGGGATGGAAGTGTTGTTGGGGCGGAAGGGGATTCGACATTGAGTTAACTTTACAAGTCAGCTTTAGAAGATGTGATAAATTTGCTTCCCTTCACCTCCTTTCTCCAATCACAGTTCATCCCAGTTGTGTTAAATCAAAGCAGGGTTTGGGCTTGTCTGCTTAAGGACTTCACAGTGGTCCAAAACAAAAAGAGGCTTGGGGTGAGTTTCTCATCTTGCCGGTTCCTAGGATTCATCCTTGGGTGCTGCTCAGCCCACGCATTCTATCCTGCAGCTATGAAAAACCAAGTCCCTTATACATAGGTGAAGCGCATTCACCCCCTTGCAACTATGCATCAACAACAAAAAAAGAAAAAATAACAATGTCCAGCAGGGTCATTGCCTGCTAATGCTTTGAGGTTTCTAGGCAGTGCTCAGCTCTACATAAAATTATGTGTTTTCATTAAAAATTGGTTGCCTTTGAGATATAGTTGTCTATCCCATCAACATGAGACATCCAAAGCAAGGGATATAAGCCATTAATCAAGCAATGCCTCTTCTCCAGTCCACCCTTTTGTTCCTTTTCTCACGCTCCCTTTCCCCACTCACAGCCGATGCACCGCCGCTCTTCTGCGTACCTGGCTTGTAGGTAAACACTGTGTGGCTAGGTGCTGCATAATTCCCACTTAAAAATCTAGCGCCAGACAGCAAGTGATCAAATCCTAGAACTGTTTGCTGTCTCCTGAGGAGCTGGATTTGAAGACTGAGTTCAACCATTGCAATGCAAAAGAGGGACCTGCTAGTCCCACTTAAAATATAGATCTCAATCCCTGGTGTCACCTCTGTCCGACTTCAGCAGCTGGGCCTGATCCAGCTCCGCTGAAACCTGCTGCAATCTTCCCCTGAGGAATTTGGGTTGAGCCCTTGCTGTGAGTATGTGCAGAAGTAGCTCTGCAGAGTTACCACGCCACGGGGGTTTAAATTTTGTCTAGTCAAATTCCCCAGTGTGATTAAATCATACTATGACTGGATTTGTAGCCGAAGTGCTGACACACCCTTAGCTTGTAGTGGTAAAACAGGCTGGGATGCAGTCATGCCTCGGTCCAAGGGAGATGCTAATTTGTGGGCTGGACTGTGAATCATTTTTGTACCCTGCGAATAGACTGTTGCTCCCTGAGCCTCTGCTCCGATTTCCCACTGTGGAATTCTTTTAAGAGAAATGCAGAAGGCCTAAAGGAAGGAAAAACCTTCTCACCTTTCGCTCTTCATATTTGCAGCATACTAAATATTTCACCACTCCTTTTCTTTGAAACAATGGGCTTCTTCAAGCACGGTGACCTTACTTGTGGGGTATGGCAGTGCAGATCCTGCGAAGCCGTTGTACGGCACTGAGCAGTGTGGGAGTTTAGAGTGGTAGGTGGTTTAGTGCCTTTGCTTTGTATTTAAAATACATTGACATTCACAGGCACGCCACGTTGAGATGCTTGGTGCCCGTTTCTTGTGGAAACTCAGGTTTTGTGTGATTACACCCCAAACTACTCTACAAATTCATCAGCATCCTTAATTGTGTCTGCTCATAACGGGGAGAGAATGTATGCATGTGAGATGAACACGGGCAGAGTGGGACCTTGGGGATGGGGAAGGGAGATCTTCGGCACACTGGAACTCTTCTCAACGATTCCCCGGTACTGCTGTGCACCTTATCCTGGGCTGCGTAAACCTCAGTCTTCCTTGGGCTTGGTTTGGGTGCGTTAATCGTACAGAATTCTTCATTGTATTTGCTATGGTGAGAGCTCAAGCCAAGCTCCCCATTGCCCTAGGTCAGTGGTTCTCAACATTTTTGCCCTCAAGGTGCCCCTTGTCAGACTCCAGGCATCCCTCCATAACTATTGGGAATTTAGTGGCACCCCATTTCAAACCTGAATTTATTTATTACAGTACTTACCTCTTTGCAGAGAGGCTAGGCAGCAGTGGCAGGGAAGTGGGCAGACGGTGAAAGCCTGAGCCTGCCCTTATCTGCTTCGCTCCCCACACCTCACTTATCTCCTTGCGCTTCCTGCGGCAGCCTTCAAAGGGTCTTGTGGCACCCCGGTATGAGGCTCACTGCTCTAGGTGCTGTACCTACTTGTAGTGAGAACTAGCTTTGCCCTGAAGAAGCAATATTCCTACTAGACCACATAGACAAAGAGTGGAAGAAACTAAGTAGTATTATTCCCTTTGGTCAGATGGTGAAATTGGGCTCTGTGAGAGTAAGCGGAAGTCTGACAAAGCTGGACATTAACCCCAGAATTCCTATGCCTAGGCTAGTGTTTTAGTCATAAAACCACTCTTTCTTCTTCATTTAGGTGTATTCATTTAAAAAATGCTAGGTTTTAACAGGCTCCATTATAAACCTAGATCTACTCTGTGTTCAACTGTCTGTCCTCTGCAAGCTTGCAATACTTTTTTTCCATTGATGGCACACTGGTTTATAGTGTAGATGTTTTCTTTTCCCAATCAGCTGTAAAATGTTTGATCTGTAGATGTTTTAAAGTCTCTGTCCACTTCCACTTGAGGGATAAAAAAATATGGTTGTCTTAAGCGTACTGGTGTTCCAGGTTGTGATGTGAGGGTGTACGAACAGAGCTTTTCAATCGGGATTTTCAGAACCTTACTGTAAAACAAATGCTGTACCAGCAGCTTACTAAGAATAAAAATCCTATTCAACATTTCAAATCATCTTAAGAAAAATGACTTGTCTTGTGTCTTTTTATTCAGTACTGGGCCAACAAGAATTGCATATGGGCCTTTGTACGGACCAGATGTTATATATAGCGCACATGCGCACACAAAGGAGGCAGCAGCTGCATATGTCTTTGAAGAAGGAAGCAGAGTATAAAGTATGTTTTCTCCCTTTCATTCTCGCAGGCTCTTGAAGAAGCCCAAAAAGCCATTCAGCAACTCTTTGGTAAAATTAAAGATATCAAAGACAAAGCTGAAAAATCAGAGCAAATGGTAAGTAGCTGTTTCTTTGTGGTCTTTTACAAGGGGTGGGAGATCTCCTTCAGTTCCCAGCATGTATTGTCCACACAAAAGAAGTGGCATGCTGGGGACACCTGCTAATGCACTGTTGAGAGCTCATGCTGGATCTAGTGTTACCCAGTCTGTATCAACTCTGTACCCACAAGCCTGTGGTAGCATGGCTCTGATCCCAGAGAAAGGACAGGGCTTCACGTCCTCTCGTGAAGGATTTGCTGCACTGGCTCTGATGTTTACTCGATCTCATATCCTTAAATCGACAGGTTAAAGAAATTACACGGGATATCAAGCAGCTGGATCATGCCAAGCGCCATCTGACCACCTCCATCACGACCCTCAATCACCTACACATGCTGGCAGGCGGTGTGGATTCACTTGAGTAAGCCATGAGAGCTGATGGTGGTGTGTGTTGAAGGGATGGCACTCTGCAGCCGGGTTTTCGGTAATGCACAGGACTGGTTCTGTGACAGCTGGTTGCTCTGCCTCTAGGGGAGTTCTGCGCACAGAATTAGCAGTGACTTGTACGTTTTGCCAGAAGGTCCTTTCTGCAAATACTCCATAAGTAGCCTCTACCTTGCCTGATATATATAAGAATGTATAGCCTTGGACCCACATGAGAAGAATGAGAGTTGCTGTGTTGGAGAGTATCATCCACCAGCTGTCCAGCTAATGTCCTACTGATAGGTGTGTGGCCTTTACAAACCAGGCCAAACCTTAAGTTTTATTTGAGAGAGGTGAAATGCTTCTGCTTATTTGATATGGTCACATATTTAAGGTGCTCATTGCAATCATAGTTTCATAGTTTCTAGGGTCGGAAGGGACCTGAGTAGACCATCTATTCCGACCCCCTGCCATGGCAGGAAAGATTACTGGGGTCAAACGACCCCAGCAAGGTGTTCATCTAACCTCCTCTTAAAGACCCCCAGGGTAGGAGCCAGCACCACTTCTCTTGGAAGTTGGTTCCAGGCCCTAGCCACCCTGACGGTGAAGTCGCACCTCCTGATATCTAGCCTAAATCTCCCCTCTGCCAGCTTGTGACCGTTATTCCTGGTCACTCCTGGCAGTGCTTGGGGGAACAGGGACTCCCCCAATGCCTGCTGATCCCCCCTGACTAGTTTGTAACAGGCCACTAGATCCCCCCTCAGCCTTCTCTTGTAGAGGCTGAACAGGTTCAGGTCCCGTAGCCTCTCTTCGTAGGGCCTGCCCTGCTGCCCCCTGGTCATGCGAGT